TCTCCAAATGGTGTGTTAAAGACCAAATGATTTAGCACATAATTCAGAAGTAAACAATGATCAGCAAGAAGTCTGCACTGTCAGCTACAAGACATGTCTTGGATGCAAGAAAAAGCAATATGCCAAGAAAAATGAGTAAATCTGTGTGTCTGTATCTTGATGTGGAGAGGCAGCTTCTGCTCCATCCTCAATGGAGACACAGTTCAATGGGTATTTTTTTGTTTTGCCAGTGGCAACAACAGCGGTTCAAAGGACACCAGTGGGAGAAAAGAGCTTCCTGCAGCCACCAGGAGTGAGCATGGATGCTCCACTCCAGCTGGTTTGTGTGGAAGGGCTCATTTCCTGGCCCTACTGCTCCTTGTGCCAGACAAGAGATGGTTCTGTGCTTCCCAGCACCAGTGACAGGAATGGTGCTGCTGGTGTAGCTCCAGGGGCTGCAGTGCTGTTTTACCATACCCAGGCAAAGGGATTAGTAGTGAGGGAAGGGAGTAGTTAAAAAGAAAGAGCTTTGTTCTGCTTTCTCCATGTTTCATCCCATGTTGTTGTGCATAAAAGAAGCAGCATGCCTAAGCCCCACAAACAGAATGTTCCTTTTTTTTCAGTGATTCCCTAGCTTTTAGTGCAAAGAAAAGAAACAAGACACACAAGATTATTGTGCTATGGATTTATAATAACATTTTATTAATATATTATGCTACAAAAATATTTTGATAAAATAATATTAGAAAGCATCTTTTTATTACACTCTTCAAAACAGTTCACAAAAGCAGGAGGCGGAACAGGAAAAATATCTGAAATACATTTGAATTGAAAACTGACAAATATGCAATCTGAATTTCGGTGTGAGCACAAATCTGCAGGATGGTTAATCAGTCCTGTGGAAGGAAAGTGTTGCCTACTTATTGCAAAGACCTCTCTGCCTTTATCTAGATTAAGGTGCCTCCTGAAATGTTAGTCATAGAAAAGGCTGAATTTGGGTTGGGACAGAACAGAGACAACACACACACGTAAATGTACACACACACCCACCCACACACACACATCCACACACAAACCCACACCTTATGATCTCGAACTTCAGCAAATTATCTTTCTGCTTCAGTTAAGCTGAAACACGCTTAAATTGAAGCTGGGTTTCAGCACACTCCATGGAACATTGATCACTTCAGAGATATGACAAGACCATATAATTTTTGGATATAATACAGAAATACGGTACTAAGCAAAGTTTGGCATGGTAACGCATGCTGAGATAATAACTTTGGCACTTTGGTTTCTCTAACATAAATACATGATGGGAAATTCCTCCCTAACAGTGGTATATGGTAATGACTGAGTCATATCATTTGACTAATCAATGCACTAAACAGATTAAGTTCTCCCTCTTTCCATTCTCTCTTTCTCCACAATTGTATATTGAAGAACTTAGATAAATATACAACTCTGTACCTTGGGTGTTCCTAAATTACAGTGGAGCTTGGAGGAATGGGAAGTTCAACAAAGCAGATTTTTGACACCTGTATAAAGCATAGTTATCATAAATCATGTTCATCATTTATTGCCAGAAGACTTATTGCATTATTCAACAGCTCTAGGGATTGAAGAGAAACTACTTCAGTCATAAAATATAAAATACCTTCTGTCCCAGCTTACTGACTGGTTCTCCAAGTGGCAGTGCATGTTAATATAGTATCTGTAGTTAAGCAAGAAAAGCATTAAAACACTGAAAGGGGAGAGATTAGATTTGTTGCTGATGATATGAGATTATTTATTCCACCGGGGCAAGATTTTGGCAGGTACTCAGCACTTGTTGATAATGCTAGAGTTACATTTAATGTGAATTGTGTTGGTGTCCCTTGTAACAGTGTTGAGAAGAAGAATCACGAGACCACTGAGCTTTGGACTCACCCAAAGTCGTGTCCTAGACTGCCAGACACTGGTGACTCTCTTGATGCTGATTCTCAGAGATAAGCAGGATCATCAGTGTTTGCTATTTTATGTGGTGGGCATGAATGATTTTGCTAAATCTCCTGCTCTTGGAATCTTGTGATAACATGGCAATCTGAGCTTTCATTGGAAGAAAGAATTGAGCCAGTTTTTAGTTTTGTGAGAAATACACAGAAGAAACTGAAGCCCCCTGAAGCTGGTAGTCAGTGTTGCTTCCAGAGCACATATCAGATCTGGTCCAGGTTTTAAACTCACGGTTTAGAAAACCATGAGAAATTCAGAAATCATGATCCATTGTGACAGTGTGCATAAGTCTGTGCTAACCACTACTACTGTGTTTTAATTAATGCTGGGCTGCCCCAGCTGATTAGTAAACAACTAATTTTATCATCCACAGTGAGGGTTCACTATCCAGCATTGCTCTGCACACCGTATTGAAGAAAGTGACCCTAAGTTGTACTTTAGGTTAAGACACGAGAATAAAAAGAATGTTTGGTTAGAGACCTGTGCTGAAGCCATTCACGTGGGGTTGTGAGCTAAGATCTACAGAAACCTACTCAACCTTTAAGTCATGTCTCCTCCCTAAGCCAGAGAGAGCTCAGATGACTGAGGGAGCTGCACACCTCCTACAAAAATCAGGTGTGTAGACCCCAAATCCAAAAGACACCTTGTTCTGACACCTGTGCTGCACAAATGTGGGTCACCAGCACAAGGGTTCTAGTAAAATTCATTAATTTCCCAGAATTACAGAGAAAATGCCAGGAAATGCAAAGATGTTAAAACATACTTTGATATCCAAGCCATTTACATCCTATGATAGCCAAACATACCACAGTATCTGAGCTAATGAAAATTGAATATTACTGTCCAGTGTAGGAGTGACTCAGAAAACCTCAGTGGTGATAAAAGAGTGACTACTCTGTGCAGCACAATGACAGCTGGGAGTGTGGAGAGATTTGTGTGCTCCTAATATTAAAAAAAAAAGAAAAAAAAAGCCCCAGAGGTTTATGGAGAAAGCCACAGATTGGGAAACTTCAGAATTGTAATTTCTAGTCTTGGTCCTGTTGTTGGTTTTCCTTACAGTCTTGGACAAGCTGTTTCTGTTTTCTGCTCTTTTTTCTCTCCCTTATCTTTACATGGTCTTGTCTATTTATACTGTAGGATTTCCAACACCTGGAATTATTCCTGGGATAGCACCACAGAATAATTTCTGGATATGATCTGGTTACAACAAATAAAATTCAATGGGTTTGGGTTGTTGGCTGTTCACTTTTACTACGTAACTTATCATCGCCCTTAAGATTTACCTGCCTTATTTCCAGTTACAGTCTTGTAAATAAGACATTATAATTCAGTTTTCATCTCTGCCTTGAACACATCAGGAGAACCAATAATCTTTTTAAAATGCATTACTGTTAAATTTGAAGGTCTCTTAAACCATAATATTCAAATGAAGGCATTTCTAGAGTAATAGCTCAAATAAAACCAAAATGAAAGTTCTCAAAATATGTTTTCAATATCCATCTCTGTGCAATAAATATTATGCAAGGTGAATGGCTTCTGTCCAAAACTAACATCTTTAATCTTCTGCTAGCCAAAATACACAATATGAAAGTATGCACAGGGTCTGTTTGAATCTCACATTTGGGGCAAAGCTCAAAGTTTTCCATTCAGCCTTATCAACTGCTGGGGGAAGCTTATAACACTCTGTGCTATTACCCACTCAAATTGATCAGAAATCTGCACAATCTGCTGTCAAAAATAGAGGCTGGGGATCATGGTGTCCAGTAAGTTAAAAAGAAATTACCTGTATTGTCCTGGCCTTTGCAAGGCAATGGCTGGGATGCACGATGGAAATGCTCAGTATTTCATCATGAAATCCTGTGATTTTTGTAGCCTAACTTTCTAACTTGCATGAAATAACTGGTATGACAACAAGCAAACTGTGAATTCTGAACTCTCTCTCACTGCAGAGTCTTGCAGATTTCATGGAATCATCTGCAGCTCCAGAGACCAGGCTGTAGGGCTGCTGGGAAACTTACAGCGTTGTTTTCAGCCAGAATTTTATTAGTGACATTGTTAAAATTATCTTCATTATCTTTTTTTCGAAAGTGAAGAAGCACTGCTTTTCTTAGTACTTTTAAAGAAAAGCTTGTATTGTATTTTTCTGATTTGGAGACTTCGAAATAAGATATTTCCATCACACAGTTTTGATTTTTGGTTTGTAGATGACTTAAGGAAAAAACCCACAATTTCAACCAAAACTCATTATAAACTATTGTATCCAAAGAGATTTTTCATCCTGTTCTGGTAGTGAAAAAACATCTACATGCCTTTTTAAACACAATAATTTTTAAGATGGCACTGGGATTTTTCCACATAGATGTTGTAAATCTCATTCCTCAATAACAGCTGTTTGGATAGGGAGCACATTTTTCAGTGAGGGTAAGGTGTCATAACTTTTCCATCTAAGTCAGATACCACAGTTTAGGAATGGAAGAATGTTCTGCATGTCTCCGTAAGATGGAGGTTAGTTTGATTCCTGTGGTGTTGAGCAGATTTTGGACAAGACACACTTATTTCAGCACAGAGATATCAGCTCTATCAGCTCATGGTAGCTGATAGAACTGATCAACAGAAAGAGGAATTTGTAGATGATTTTTGCCTCCAGGTTGTCCATGACCATTAACACAACTGGTACAAAGGAGTTCTATAGATTAACAGGACACTATATCTTTGTAATCTATAGACAGACCAAGCTCTCTTTTCATTTATGCTTGAAAAGGTTGTAGGCTTATACTTGTATAAAATGAGGGAGAGAAGAAAAGAATTCCAAGTAGGATTATTCCAGACTTTGAAAGCAATTTTTTATTAAGAGAAGGGTGTCTTAATATGCGTTAGCTGGTGAATTAATTTCAGGGCAATGGGGGAAACTGGCAATTTCTGAAAAAGTTAAATAGTTTAGTTAAGAAAAACAGGGGTAATGTAGAGGATTATTGTGAATAATGACTTACTAAGTCATGTAAAAATAACTATTATTTTAGACTGTGGCAGCTAATGAGTTAAGAACGCGCGTATTTTTCTAAAGGGCACAGGCCCCAGAGAGCAGGATCTGCTTTATTCAGTGTAAGATATGCTAATGAGATAAAAGAAGTAAAATAAAGAAGTTCAGCAGAAATGTACTTATTGGACAGCTGCTGTAAAATGTAATGGTTAAAGAAACAAAGAAAGCATTCATTTGGTGTCAGTTCAGACATTTGCAGAATTGTCAGAAGACAAATATAGAAAATATTAATTTATCTGTTTCACCATCGCTACTGATTAATAGGGATGTTATTAACATATACAACAAGAAAAATAAGTTTACCAGTCGAATAAATACATTTTTCTTTTTCTTTTTTTTTCTTTATATGAACATGTATATTTTACAAAACCCCATAGCACTATGGGAAATAAAGATCCTTCTACAAAAAGAAGATGTAAGTCAGTGTTACAATAAAGCTTTAGAGTTTCAAAATGTATCTGGGCAAAGAGACAAAATCAGCTAGAAGGCACTACTGAGTCACTGAGAAGGTCCAGCTTGTAACTGTTGTTGTCTTAAACTCCAATTTGTTCATAAATTATCTCTCTATTCCAAGGGACTGCATGTAATATAATGTGGTCAGGAGGGCTGCAGTAGGCTCAGGAGAAAAGAAGCTATGGCCATGCAGAGAGGAAATGTTACTGGTGGCCATGAAAGGCTGGCTGGGGCTGAGCTCGTGGGCTGGGGCTGGGACGGGCGGTCGGGACGCGGCCTCTGATCCAGCTGGTTGGAAATCCAGATGGGAGGTTTGACTGTGATGTAGCCATTGGTTATCCTGATATAGGAAGGCAACGTGGTGGTGCTGGAAGAAAACACAAGAGAAGGAAATTAAACAGGAGAACCTTATTTCTATTCTCTGTGAACTGTCATCCCAAGTGGTAGCAACCACATCCAATTATTATTATTATTATTATTATCACCATCATCATCATCCATTAGATAGCAGGGAGGGAGCTAGAGACTGATAACTGTGATGATGTGGAAACAGCTCTGATGCAGGATGTCCCTCAGCTTCTGGCTGCTGACAAAGTACAGCCAAAGGAAGGACTGCTCTTAACGTATCTGACATACTGCACTCCATTTTTAAGCATCCATTGCCGTTGGAATACTAAACACATTACTGGCCAGCATCAGAAATGGTGCTAAATGTATCCTTGTGCTGACCCAGGATGACCTCTTTAAGTCCTTTCTTCCCACCAAAGGTCTGAAACTCTGCCATGTCTCAGTGACATCTTATGCTCCATGAACCACATACTGAGTGACCAGGAGGGTCCAGGATACATTCCTTCCCTGTTTCACAAGCCTTAAAGAACTTCCCAGGATCCCCCTTACACAGCTGATAACCTTGAGCATGGGAGATTGAGCAGGTTCATTTCTTTTCCTGGCTTTAAGCCATTTTGGATCAAATCACAAAGCCAAAACCAGACTCAGTTGCTGTTAGGTTTCCCTGACTGTGGATTTGCCTCAATAGCAGTGTGATTGCTTATTGATTGTAGCTTGAGTTAGTACTTTGATTTGAATTTGCAGGTTGGAATTCATCATGACTCCCATGACACTGGAGGTCAAAAAGGTCCCTTTACGATTGATTTGGAAGTTTAAACTGTAATCTCCATTTCATAAAATGCCCCCATTGCATCCATTACTGGATGATCCATAATCCTCCAGTTGTCAGGGAGCAGCACAACCAAGCATGCAAACTGCACAGGGTGGATTTTGGACTTAAACCCAAGACATTCTGCTGAGAAGTGAGGATAAAAATGGCAAGGGCCCCTGAAAAAAAAAAAAAAAAGTGACACTAATACCTGTAGATTCTCTAAATCTTCCATAAGGGGGATTTGGAGGCACTGAAAATGACCTTCATATAATTTTTTAATGGGGTAAGAAGTTATGCAGTCCTATAAATATTTAGCTACAGTATCCAGGATCTTGACCTTGGAAGGCAAAGGTTGCGTCTTGCATAATATTAGATGAAAGGAATAACATCTTACTTCAGATTCCAGCACAGAAACAGAATTTAGAAGGACTAAAGGCTTTTGTCTTTTTCTGTCTAAGCAATACCAAAATGGATTTTAGCTGAGATGCTTCAAATGTGCTGAGTCAATCACAAACTGAGAAGACCAGAGCCCACCCTGAAAATCCCATGGACAATCCCTGCACATTACACTTCACCCTGAGTTTTGGGAGAAGTCACTTCATTTCTTCCCTCATCCTTTATACTGTCACCACAGCTTCTGGGTGGGACAGTTGTTCTGTGGCTAGAAGTGATCTTAACTAATGTACAATGAATTAGAGTAAAAAGAGAAGGCAGTCTTCAATTAAAGACATAAGAATTGCTTCATGGGAGCAGATAATCCATCTAACCAGTATTAGGATTCTGACACTGAGGAGCAGTGCTTGTTCCAGAGCAACAAACTGCTGTGAACAGAGAACTCTGAAATCAAGGCTTGTTGGAGAAAGTTCTCTGAATTCCCGTGGTGAGTGGTTGGTTTATGTCTTGAAGTGATGATATAAGATACCCAGCTTTAGAGTTTCTCCTATATTGCATCAGAATTGCTGCAGTCCCTTAACACAAAGAGCTGATCCGCAATAAACTAATGCTGCTGTTTCCAATCTGCCTGGCAGGATGGCACTGGATTAGCAACTGTGTGGCCAAGCTCCTGTAACATAAGTAACATCATTCCCACAGTGAACACAAAGAATCATTAAAGCAAACTTCTGACAAGAAGAGGTACTGCACGCTCTGGGTAATCCAACACAAACGCAGTCATGCTTCAATTTCTGATCCAGCTCTCATTTATCCTGCTGAGTGGTGATGTGGTGCACAGGTCTGGCAGCACTGACAGTGGGATCACAACTTGGATTTTTCCCTATGCCGGGTTTCCCAAGGTAAGCATGGGTAGGTGTTTGTCCTCATCTTTTGGTACTGATTGTCAGGTTAGAGAACTACAAAATTTTGCCCTAAATTAAATTCAAAACTACAAGGAGGAACTGATTTTAAATTTTAATTAAAAAAAAAATCACCAAAATGCCATTCAAACTTCCAGTTTGGGCATATCCTGCTCTTGACACATTCTATGGGCTTGATACTCCACTGAGGTTAAAGTTTTCCTTGCACAAACTGTGTTTCTACTCCTCAGGGATGTTCTGTGCACACAGGCTGGCCAGGGAACCTGCAAAAGCATCACAAGCCCATTCATCAGCCAGCTACATCTAAGGGATTCCTAAAGCAGCCTTAAATCAACATTTTATGTCTCTGTGTGATGTTTCTGCATTCTAGTCAACTTCCATAAGTGTTTTGGTTTTGTTTTCTGGGGGGATGATGTTTTTTTGTTGTTGTTGATTGGTTGGATTTAGTTGATTTTCTTTTCTCCCTTATTCAAGGACCTGAGAATTGCTGATCACTTCTCCTTAGTTAATGAGGTTATTTTCTGTTTTCAAGACATTACATTTGTATAAAAGCATTCTTGTTAAGATAAATACTGTTAGGTGGGGTTGTTTGTTTTCAAAAACTCCTTGAGTGCTTTACAAGAGAAGAACAGTGTGTTTCCACTAACATCTACAAAGCATTTGCTAATAGCAAATGAATCACAGCTTATCCATAAAAAACATTTTCTTAATGTACTTTTAGCTGACTGCCAAGGTGGTTTAGAGATATTTAAAGAGAATTATCCCTTTTACCAAATACTACAAGTCCTTGTAAAACCTCAAGTGCCGGTTTTTAACTAGGCTGTTGTGTAGTGAATGGGGAGAGAAGCCTTTCCAGAAGCTGGTCCACCTCACTCCAGTGCAGGTTTCTAGGGGGTCTTACTCTTGCTTGGGATCTTTCACTTCCTAGGCATTACAGAGGGGCCCTGGACAGCCAGGCTGGATTACAACCTGATCTCAGAGGTGGCCCTGGTGTCAGGAGATGACTTCTGCAAACTCCCTCTGAGCATGTTTGCATGTGCATGTAGGATCTCACTGACCCTTGGACATTCCCTAAGGATGAAGCAGAATCCCCTGAACTCAACCAGAAACCTTCCTTGAGGAGGACTTGAGCATTCCTGAAATGAACATAGAGAATAATAAAAATGAATCAGAGATCTGTGGGATAATAATCTAAATTATTATCACATCTTCTCTTGCCAGACCAGGATATTCTGTATTTCAGCATTGTGTGTCTGATAAAAATATCTTTAATAAAACATTCCACATGATCTGTGGTTAACTGGCAACCACTGGCTCCGCTGTTCATACCTCTCTTTTTTGCTTCTGTGTATGGGATTGTTTTAAAAACTTGGAAGACTCCAGGTACGTTTTAGCCAAATGACCTGCGGTATCATATTCATGAGCTTGTTCTTTTGATCAGATAATAGGGCACTTTTTCAAATCAGTGCATTACTCATACATTGTCTTACTATCATTAGAATGTGTAAAACTTTCCCCAAAAAATGAGGCCTCAGGCACAGGCTTTGTGCACAGATTCTACTGAATGCAATTACATGATCCAAGCCCTCTAAGCTGGGGGTGTGCTGAAGCACCTTGGTGGTTTGGGAGCATTTTAAAGCTGAAAAATAAAAGAAACTCACAAGCAACACACTGAGAGAATTTCCGCTCTGGTTTGTCTTGCAAGGACTTTGAAGGGAGGTCACAAACTAATTTTTAGCATGACTTGGTTCATCCATGTAAGCAGGGTTCATCTGACCACACAGGACACCACAGCAGAAGGACACAGGTCAGGACCAGGGAGTCTTTCTGGCCCATCTGCCCCCGACACAGGAACAAGATCTAAACCCCTCCTGACATTTGTCTCATCCAGTCTCAAAAAAACAGTGATAATGATAGGAATTCCAGAATCTGTCCAGACATCCATTCCAGCATTTCACCATTTCTGGTGCCCAGAATTACTGCCTAATGTTTCACCAAATCCCCCTTGCCACAGGTCATGACTTGTCCTGTCCCCATGGACAGGTTTATTCCTTTTCTCTTCTCAGGAGCCTTTCACATACTTTGAAAATTTAACCATGTTTCACCTAAGCCTTCTCTTTTTAAAACAAACAATTCCCTCCACCTTTCTTTGCAAGTCCTCAGGTGCTTTCCCTCTATCCTTTCCTCTGCTCTGCCCTGGCTCTGATCCATGTCTTCTCTGGAATGAGATGCTCCAAACTGGAAACAGTAGGCATGGCTGAGATCCCACCAGCCCCGTGCTTGGTGCAGTAGGTACCTCTGCCTCTATATCTGCCAAGTGCATGAAAAACAGGCCATCTCCAAGAGGACAGACAGTATTGCCATTGCTTATTGCTCCCAAAATTCAAACCACCTTAAGCTCCCAGGAACTGTTCTGAAGCTCATGGAAAACTGCTGGCTCTCTGAGGGGGTGAGGACCAACCCAATTATTGTGATATTTCTATCCATTTTTAATCTCCTGCCATGCCTTGGTCCCAACGTGGTTTTGTTCAGGGTGGAGGAAATAACCCTTTCAAGTATAACTTACAAAGTGTTTGGGGATTTTTCTGGATCAAAGGAGCTGTGTAAACACAAGACAACTATTTTTAATAAACATAAGCAAATGTTGACTCAGACAGCCTTTCTTACAATAGCATCTGATGAAAGAAGCTAGATTGAAACCTGAAAAATGCATGCTTCAATTGAAAACCTAAAAGGCTAGTAAAGTGAAAGAAAATTTTTGAGTAAATACAATAATGACTATTTTGCATTTGTGATTTGATGTTAACCTTATGATGGCTAGGGGTTTTCTTAAGTGATATTAAGCATATGCTTCCTGTTTCTTTTCAAACAAAATTTGCCCTACTTTTTTTTCCC